GTGGACAGGAAGATCATTGAGGCTCCAGGTATTCGAGTTGACGTTGCTCATGTTGGGCTTGAGATGGCGGACGCTATGTGTAAATGGGAGTTTCGTCTCTGTCGTCGTGTCTGTCGTTATGTCTATTGTCGTCTTAGTAAAGATGAGTGAGAATTGGTTGAAATGAAGTTGTAACGAGCAGACGTAGTAGGCGTTAGTCTAGTAGATATTATTGATAGTTTGAATGTTGATGATGAGAGAAGCGGATGATGTTGGAGTCAATTACTCGGAGTGCTACGACGATGCCTTCATCATATAGACCGAGGATTTGTAAACAACCCCATTGTTAGCCACAGCAATGTTCGAGATCAAAGACCCCATCACATTAACTTGAGCTCAAAGACAGACTCCATGACAAAGTCTATGCATGTGGACTTGGCTCAAAGCGAATAGTTCGCCGTTGTGCATTGCTTTTGTGAAGTTGAAAGAATGAGTACTACCCACAAAGATGAAAGCCGGTTCCTTTTCCCATACAATGCCATTGTGCAAGATCCCTCCAACGCCATCCAGAAAGACTTTTGGTGTTACATTCGGGTATCAAGAATAGATTCACTGCCCCCTTCCGATAGGGTAGTTGAACATCAGCAGCCCGTTCAAACCGCCAACCCAGCCGTCGTCGTCGTACTCGGCCGCGTCGCCCTTACCAGGACCGCAGATGACACAGGGTACGCCGCCTTTCCAGTCGCCGCTGCCAGACTCGCCTACCATCTCACCCTCGACGCGGATCTCAGTGCCGATTGGGGCGCCGGCGCTGCGCTTGCCGTCGATGCTGACCTCGAGCTCGCCGTCGCGGTTCTTGCTGCTAACCTTCAGCGTCACCTTGGTGTTGAGGGGAAGCACCAGCGGGCGGAAGCTGAGACTTCGGGGGCAGATTGGCGTGATGAGGAGAGATTTGACGAGGGGGTGGATGATGGAACCGCCGGCGCTGAGGCTGTAAGCGGTTGAGCCGGTGGGCGTGCTCAGGAGAATTCCATCGGCGACGGCTTCTGTAAGGAATCGGTTGTTCAGGTAGATGTCGATATGGGCGAGATGTGGCTTCGGGCCACGGTGGATGAGCAGTTCGTTGAGAGCGTGGATAGGCTGCGGTATGTCTCGCTTCGTCAAAATCGTGTCTTCGGGTGGTGTCGCAGGGAGATGCGCCTGCGACTTAGTCGTCGGCAGCAATTGACTGTTAATGTTCTGGCCATTCGTGTCGAAGACCCCAACTCGCAACCGGTGTCGAAGGAGAATCTTGGCCGCCCTACTCGGTCCCATACTCTTTCCAGGAGAGTGATGCCATCCGTTGTCTTTATTCTTGGGCTCGTGCTCCATCTCTCCACTGGCAACTCTCGTGTGCGGCCCCATCAAATCCTCAGTCGCAACCCCGCTGCCGCTCATGTATGCCTCCCTCCACGCTCTCTTGTATTCCTCAAACTTCCACTCAGCTAGAAATCCGATCGTACCAAAGTTAAAGGCGAGGATCGGTGGTACGGAGGAGTACATGCTGAAGTGGCTGGCGGCGCGCAAGATTGTGCCGTCGCCGCCCAGTGTGGTGATCATGTCGATCTTGTCGGGGAAACTCGAGGGATCGCAGGTGTAGATGGGGAAGTTGAGCGACTCGTGGACCATCGTTGCAACTCGCGGCTCGAAAATCAGGTTGAGGCCGGTGTATGTGCTATTCAGGTGCTTCGCAAAATCGATCGTCGCACGCAGTACTTGCGGGGACCGCAGCTTTGGCATGAGGAGGATGTTTCGTGGTGGCGTTGGCCAGTGCAATGACAGCAGGCCTGAAGTCGAATTTGGGGGATCTCGGTATTTTGGCACAATTCTTCGAGGGAGGGAGGAGACTTCGCGGATTTCAGCGGCGCGGGCGGCGCTCGTCGTCGAGAAGTTCAACGGTCGAAAAGCTCGAATCGGCCCCGCCATGGGCAGGCGAGCTCGACTGCTGAGGGCCCAAATCCTGGACATTTTGGGCAGATTTTCGCTTCAAAATGATACGAAGTGCCTTCAAGAATGGTTCATGGTCGAATGTGACGGCCAAAAACCTGTCGCTGAGGCTGTTGGACCTGTCGCGTGTGGAAGCTTGTGTGGAGGAAGAAGCGGCAGAATGAGTTAGCAATGACGACAATTCCATTTGCCAGCCCCACCTGAGCTCTCACCGAGAGTGGCTCTGACCTCACCGAGCTGAGTCATCCCAGAGAACCCGGATGGCCCCGCTTCGGGCCCGAGCCGATGGACGCCGGTGGGGCATCTTCGGCCGGTACCAGCCGTCACCACTTTTCGGTCCCAAATGAACGATAACTTTTGAGCTTTGCTATGAATGGGAGTTGCCATGCATGAGGCCATGAATGGATCAGACGAGATGTATGCGTATATAGCATACGAATGGGTGTTGGCATAGAGCATATAAGGTTCATCAAAGGTTCCGATGCTCACTCACTTGTCCGCCGCAAGGATGAGCGTTGCACACTGGGGGTGGTGGAAGCGAACTCGATTTGTATTTTATCGCCGATGACAAACCCCGACTATTACTACGTCCATATCAACAGAATTGAACCCCCAAGATAGATGCCTCACTGCCTACTCCTCCACCGGCTCTTCCTCCTCATATGCTTCCTCGGCCTCGTCGTCATCCATACCAGCATCCTGATATTGCTGATATTCTGACACGAGATCGTTCATATTGGACTCCGCCTCCGTGAACTCCATCTCATCCATGCCTTCACCAGTGTACCAATGCAAAAACGCCTTCCTGCGAAACATGACACTAAACTGATCTCCAATTCTCCTAAAGATGTCCTGAATAGCCGTTGAATTTCCGATGAAAGTCGAGGAAGCATTCATTCCAACAGGTGGGATAGAACAATGCGCTGTCTGCACATTATTCGGAATCCACTCCACGAAATACGCCGAGTTCTTCGCTTGCACATCCCGAATCTGCTCCTCAATCTGCTTCGTCGACACTTTACCACGATAGATCGCAGAGCAAGTCAAGAAACGCCCATTCCGGAAATCCGAGGCCGACATGACGTTCTTCGGATCGAACATCTGCTGCGTCAACTCGGCCACCCCGAGATTCTGATACGCAGCCGCAGTCGTCAACGGCGCAAACCCAACAGTGAAGAAATGCAATCTCGGAAACGGCACCAGATTCACAGCCAACTTCCTCAGATCCGCATTCAGCTGCCCAGGGAAGCGGAACCCCGTCGTCAGCCCGGACATCACCCTCGAAACCAGCTTATTCAGATCCCCGTACGAAGGATGCGCCTGCTTCAGCGTCCGGCGACAGATATCGTATAACGCTTCGTTGTCGATACAAAACGTCTCGTCGCTATTTTCAACCAGTTGATGGACCGAAAGCGTCGCATTGTACGGTTCAACGACGACCTCCGACACTTTGGGCGACGGCAGCACCGAAAAAGTAGCCATCATCCGGTCCGGGAACTCTTCTCTCACCTTGGCGATAAGCAGCGTGCCCATGCCCGAGCCCGTTCCGCCGCCCAGCGAGTGCGTGATCTGAAATCCCTGCAGGGAATCGCACGTTTCGGCCTCGCGCCGCACCACGTCTAGGACTTGGTCCACGAGCTCCGCGCCTTCGGTATAATGTCCCTTGGCCCAGTTATTGCCCGCGCCGGACTGGCCATAAACCATGTTATCCGGACGGAAGAAGTTGCCCAGCGGTCCCGAGCGGATCGCGTCCATTGTGGCCGGCTCGAGGTCCACGAGGACTGCGCGGGGAACGTATTTGTTGTTGGAGGCTTCGGTGAAGTAGACGCTCAGGCGGTCGGACTGTTGCGTGAATTCGCCGCGGAAGTAGCCATCTTGGTCCAGGCCATGTTCATTATGGATTGTCTGCCTGTTCAGTCGTTCGGTGTAAGCTTGGGTCTCGGGGGAGCATTTGGGGGACATACCAAAAGGCAGTTCCGATTTGGTTGCCCTGTATCATGCCATCAGCAATAAATCGATCAATTAGGACAGACAGCGACTTACACATTGACCGGTCTGGAGGTGGATCTGTTGATGACATTCGTCAGTAAGGCTTACTCACACTTTTCCCAGCTTACGATGATGACGACGCAATACTTACGATCTCACGCATACTGAAAGCAGGAACACTTGACTGAAATGATGGAAAGGGGGTGTACAGAACCAGTGTCTTCACCTGAGTATTTCCAGGGACATATCCACCATTTATCAAGTACCATTGCCGAAACAGCACGCGTCTTAACGCCGAAAATGCCCACCCCCTGATTCGTCCGGACTCCTCGGCCCCTACGCCGCCTTTCGGCCCAAACCTCCGGATGGGCCCAGACCACCGACACGGTCTTGTTTAAACGGATGCCTGCACCCGGTAAGCGACTGCCTATCCGTTTTGAAGAAGCCTGGAGTTCACGTGTAGTACATGTGTTTGTGCATGGTGGGACAGGCCATCTTGAGTCACGCCGCGACATTTCTCAGTTTGGGTGGATCCTGCATTACCAATTCGGGCGATGTCGGTTGGCGCCCTTCGTCGCTTTACGTGATGTTTACACGGTGGAAGAAGAATGACGGTTGCTGCAGGAACAGAGCAGATGGCTTGGGACTTCTGTGAGTTATTCGGCTGCCTGGGGTTTTTCGGCGTTTGGGTGTTGCCACTGGTGTGTTGGCGTAGGCAGCTGCATTCTGTGCCGCATGGCGGTTGGAACCGAGCGAATGGGCCACTTTCTTTGTTTCAAAAGAGGCAGGTTGTTTTGATTCCAATTCATCCAAGTATTTGGTCTGAAGATCTGGTGTGTCTGAGGAATACTGTAATACGGAAGCCTGGTGGGTGTGTGGAGTGAACATCGAAGCGACGCACAGCAAGAAACTGATCCCTTTTCTTTTTTGACTCCGGCAACAGATTGCGTCTTAGTAGATTGAATAATGGCATTGCAACATTATTTTAAACAAGTAAAAGTACCTTCGAAGTCTCCCAGTCAATTACAACATTGATAAATGATGCTTCAAGTTGAGTCCGATTCCTCGAACCCCCTAATCATGCTGTCAAAGAATGCCGCATCCACTCCTTGAAATGCCCAGTCTTCCACTCCTACAGAGAACCCGGAACCATAAAGCTGATGGCTTGGGCCCTCTGTGAGCCAATTTCCATCGGTAGTTGGACGCAATAGAAGACCTTGATCGGAGCTCAATGGCGCACTTGGTTTTGATCCTACTGTCTCATCCATCTCCATGAGCACAGCCGGTGCAACGGCCGACATAGTACTAGCATCGGCACGCCCTTGATCCTGTGAGACTTGGTTATTGAACGGCCTGAAAGGCTCTCTTGAAAGAAGTGCGTCGGGGGAGATAGTGACGGTGCCATAGCACGGAATCTTGAGCCGCAGGACACTCGACTCTCCCCTCTGAGCTTCTCTGATCTCCGAAGATGGTGTCAACATCGAGCCAGTTGTTGAGTTTGCAGTAAAAACTGAGCCTCTTGCCGCATGAGCCTCGATATCGAGTAGCCTCACCAGCACATCCGCACTCTTCATAGCTAGCATATCCGTCGATGTCGAGCTCCCCTCTCGCATCAACTCCAGCGCCTCTTCAACCTTGTCACGATCTGTATGTCTCTGGTGCGCCAGCACATCGTTCCCACGATCCCGTCTACGCGCATCAACATGAGCCAGGAGGAGAGTCATGGCGGCTATGAGGGCGAAGAAGTCTGCTGCATCGGGTACACTACAGACACCAATGGCACTGCGTATAGCCACAAACCGCGAGAGTATTTCGCGGGATGCGTCCATGCAGGCGATCCTGCTAGTGCATGCTGCGCCGGAGGGTGAGCTGCGAAGCATAAAGAGGAGATGGAGTTGGACCAGAAGAAAGTAGTGGAATATTTGCCCGCAGAGGCGTAGACTTTCTGTTACCGAGGTGAGTGGTTTGTTGCCAAGTGAGGTGAACTTGGGGAGGGTCCACCACCGTGGGGGCATGGCGGCGGCTGCCATGCGCATTTCAAGGTCGAGGGTATGAGTTGTTTCGAACATGCTGGCATGAGTGTCTTTCTGGTTCCTTTGAATGATTCTGGATGCAACTGCGCAATGTACCTGCTCAAGCCTCCCTAGGGGATGGTCGTCGAGAGGTGGGAGGATACTTCCGTCCGAGGCTAGACCTGAGAAGTGGTCCCTAGTGCTATCCGGCAGGCCCAACAGGAGGCAAATGAAACGCTCAATGTAGACTATCCGGAACCAGACGAAGCGGGTGTCAGGGGGCCCGGAGGGCTCGACTGTCTTAACGGGCGATTGATCGTGGGGGCGGTGGATGCCCATGAGTTGGGCGATTGATACTGCTCTACGGCAGGCCAAGAGAGATAGTCTAAGGTTTCCACCATTTGCCAGATATACAGTTTGGAGAATGACACACTGAAGAGCGTCGATGGTTCCCATCAGGTTATTGTTTTCGCACACCAGGGAAATTGCCGCGTCGGCGAGTCGCTCCATGATCTTGCGTGGGGTTGCTGATGTCGAAGGCGTGCATTTGTAGGTGGACGGTATCCTCTGCAACATTGTAGCCAATGTCAACATCCTCTTTGCTAAGAGCACAGGATGCATGGGGCGGTACAAGCCGGCGACGAAGTGCTCTACTGGTTCTGGTTGAAGGGTTTCGAGCACCTGACGTGGCGTGAGCAAAAGTTGAAACACGAGGTCGGCATCCGAGTATAGTTCGTGTATGATCTCGCAATCTTCCTTAGATGGTAATGCGGCAGTAAGCTCTTTGAAGAGGGTTGCTAGGGGTCCGTTTGGGGAAGATTGGTCAAGGGCCGGTGTGTTGTGGCTGTCATGAAGTGGCGGGTGAAGTGTCCGTTGTAATTCGCCATTGGTGGTCTGTAGTTCAGTCGTTGGTGTGCAAGACGGTGACTTGGGGCTTGTAGGCATGCGTTCATGTGTGGTTGCCGGCTGAGAACGCTTTTGTAGACATGGTGTATCATGATCGTGAGCAATGCCCTCGTCCGCGCCAAGCTCATCGCCATCATCAGCATCACGCTGCGGAGACCCCAGCGATACCGAGATTCCCCAATTCGATTCGACTCCGATTTCTTCATCGTCATCAATCTGTTGAGTAGACTCCCTGGGACTCTTCCGGTACAGCTGCTCAACCAGCCTCTCCATCCGGCCCAATCGGTCCCCGACATTGCCGACCGGGGCCTGCGTCCGTGGCAGGTGATCCTCCGGAAACTTCTGGCTCACACACGGGGTGCCCTTCTGCCAGCATCTCCGACACGTGTCACGGGGACCGTTTTCGTCAAACAAGCAGCGGATCTTGCGCCGGCGGCATTCCCAGCAGCTCCGCGTTCCCTTACGGACGGCTCGACGTTTCGTGGCGGCCCGCTCCGAGGCTGTGTGACGGCTGCTGCCGGTACTTGTATCCGGCGTCGCAGTCATTGCATGATACACTGGCAGAAAGCATCGATGAAGAAGGTGGGGTGCATTATGTTGTTCGTTCCACTCTAGCCGGACGAGATGATGTTTGGGGGATGGAGTTCGTCCGCGTTTCGTCCGCCGTCGCGCGGACGGATTCGGAATTATGGGCCCCTGATGACGGTGGGCCGCCTCTAATTGTTCCACCTTCACAGAAAACATACATTGTTAGAGGTATCTAAGGATAATATGAAAGGTGCGAGTGTTAAATTACTTCTTTATCTCATGCCTTTGAACAAGGCTGCTTTCTTCACGTAGCACATTTGCCGTTTTAACTAGGAATGAAGAGGAAATAGCAAAACGCCGAAGACTGTTACGAAGAGAGGAAGGTAAAGGCAGAGGAGTCAAAAGAGTCACTGTTCTAATTTATTTGCTTTTTTATCATTTCAGGCGCAAAATTGCGGCTCTATCAATCCAGTAACTCAGGTGGCGGATGAAATACCGGCGAAAATTTTGTCCCAAGAACCTTGCCAATGTGTTGGCGAATATTGTTCGCGCTTTCCAAATCCACCGCTTCAATTGGCTTTTGCGATACCTTTTCTTCTATCTTCTGCAAGACTCGTCTGTCCTCGTCTTGCGCTGATACTTTCGTAACATTGCTCACGAAATGATACTCCAGGTCTTCCATAGACACGGGGTGTATTAGGCCAAGATCCCGTACTTGAATATGATGATCGACAAAATACGTGCGGCCAAAATGGATTCTGGCAGATCGAGGGAGGCTAGTCGACGGGTGGACTGGCTGCATTTTGATCGGTGGAAGTAGGACTCCCGGCTCTGTTGGCAAGGGCTTAGGTGACGGGTCTCCAGGATGAATGATCGCATAGAGGTGCTGGTCATCTTCTCCGCCGGCTCCTCTTCCAGCATGTCTGGATCGAAACCAAGTTTTAGCTTTGTGGCGCCTTGTCTGACTATGCTAACGTTCCTGAATTGCAGCGTGTAATAAACTTACGTATGGACTCCTAAGCACAGGCATCCCCATTTTCCCTCTCGAACCACTACAAAGCGGCGGATGAGTACCGGGCCTTGAATTGGTTGATGCATATTCTCGCCTTCGTTCTTCCGCCCAGGAGGCACTGATAGCGCACAACATTGATACTTCCAAGGCGGATGAAGGTCCACTCGAAGAACACCGCCGGGTTTCTCGATGGAAGCACGCAAGGCATAGTTGCAAATTTCATCGTCTGTGATGATTGATTGCCCAGTTGTAAGGTCCTCAAGGAGAATCCAGCCTTCCAGAGAAAAGGTATCATCCATAGGCAATCTTTGTATGACTTCTTGTGCGACAAGATACTTGGGAATTGGCCATGACACGGACGAGATGGCGAAATAGAAGTTCCAGTGGGCAAACCGTAAATGGAAGACTGCCCATTCTTCTTTGGTGTATGAAGTTACCGGCTCATAATCATCCTCAGCATATGGCTAACAGAGCAGACAACTAACTTTGTCGCGTTGCAATGGAATACGTCGACAAAATCGCGACATTTGTTTCAAAGGCAAGTCTTTGATTTGACTGAGCCTGCGTTTTCGTTGTTCGAGACGTTCTTCGTGTCCGGAATCTGAGACAGGTCCTAGGGGGGAGTTCCCAATTGTCCTATAAGCAAACTTGATATCGACCACGAATGCTGAAGTGATTGGTGTTGAAAAGATTTGAACGGCCCTGAAGAACACAGCGGCATTTTCGACAGGGCAAAACTCACCGTTATTGATGTTCGAGAGTTGTTGAGAGCCAACATGGGCATACAACTTGATACCTGGCCAATAATCGATACTGGTCGGCTTGCTCGTCTCCTGTGTAACCAGTGTGACTAAATATCCTGCATTATCTCTGTCATCAAGATCAGATATTAGTGCAAATTCCCTGTATAGCATCCAATGACAGAGAACTTGCCGATTACAAGCCATCGAAACCATGGTATTGATAATAGAGAGCGAAGACGCCAGTGACGTTCTTAGCTTCTCCACCTAAGAGTTACGCATCTGAAGTCAATATCACCCTACAGCATGATTCAATCATTTTCTGCCTCACCTTTTCCGGCATGCAAATCGCCCACCTTCCTTTGTTGAGAGTATCCTTGACAGCATTCCCAGAGCCCCCAAGCTTCAGACTTTGATAACAACGCTCGCTCTCCTCCAAGAAGGATGTCATCTTTTGATTGACGGATTTAGTGGCGAAGGCGATTGCGTTCATTGTCGGTATTCCCAGCTTGTTTGACGTGCTTAGTTGATCGACTTGCAGCAGGACCTTATGAATTACGTTCAGTTTTGCCATAAACTCGCGATACTCTCGCCCAGCGCCTGATGAGTCCGAAAGAGCTTTGCTCAACTGAATAGCCAGCTCGGCGCCAGCCAAGAAGACCCCGACGCTGAACCCAAACGTCGCCATCGCGGCCGATCGGCATCAACATTGGTCTGAGGCCAGGCGGGGAAGAGACAAGGGAGGAGGGGAAATGGTTGCCTTATTTCGGGCTAAAGTTGGCAACCAATCAGACGCCCTAGGTTGCCGTGCCTTACGGCTACCAATGGCATCATCGTTGTGATGCGGCGCAGCGGCGCACTTCGATACGCTATTGGATCTCATCGACTGCTGAGTAGGCCGATTTCCCGGTCACGGTCCCATGATTGACCCAAACACTCAAAAGGAAAAGTCTCCGGCTGAAGAAGAGAAAGAACGTCTGACCTGTGTTATGGTGCATCGCGTATCCGCACACACCCGTGTTCTATCAGCGTCGCCCGCAGTTTATTCGATATCCGAAGATGGTTCCGCTGCTTATTCTACGCATCTCTAGGCGAACAGCGCATGTGGCTCATCAAAACAGTCATCCCAGGTCCGCTTCCCAGAGGACCAAAACTTCTCCAACACTCCCACGGCTGCCAAAGGAAGGTAGGTACCCCAGTCTTGGCTCATCAAAACCAGCTGTTTCACTACCATCGCCCTCCCGGTCGCACTCCCTGTAGACGCCTCGAAGCCAGCAACAATGAGTGGCCATTCTACACAGTTCTTCATCAGCGGCGCCTCCGCCGCTTTCTCAAGGAGTGAAATGAGCCGTCCGTAGTGGATAGTTCTCACAGCTCTCCACCCCGCCAATGAAGGCAGTGCTCTGAGGCCCTGTAGTGATGATATGGCGTACAGTGCGATTGCAGACTGGTAAGCTTGGGCCATGAGCAGCAGCTCGTCCCTTATATCGGCCTCTCTTGTCTCGGCCCACGTCTCAGGCGAGAACTCAATGATGTCTTCTATCAAGTCTTCCGAAGCAGACTGTGGAGTGCCCATGTCTTCGGGAAGGCTATCAGTCGCTATCAGGTAGCGGAGATAGTTGATGCGGATGACGTCTGTGAACAAATCCACGGGGCATGGAAGGAACGGGTAGTAACCCGACTGATAAAGCTGTGCTATCAAGTCGATATTATCGTAGCTGTGATTTGGTTCTGATTGGTCGTCTGCGGGACTTGTCGAGTTCGCAAAAGTTTCAACGCTGTGTACGTGTTAGAAGCCAAGGTCTAGCTTACTTGCTCAAGTAATGTGATTTTAAAGAAACTAAACTAGACGGCGTATGCATGGGGAATCCAATTAGCCACTCACATCTTCGGGAAAAGTAGCATGGGTGCCATGTAAGGTGTCAGGCGATACACGTTCTCAAACCCGCCGCGCATGTCGACTAGACTTTTGTAGCCATTCAGGTGGTGTCGCCAATTGGACGCGGTTGCCGATCCCATCAACTAGCATCAATCAGCATTCATCAGTAAACTGTGTCATTGGCACAAGCTTACGTCTGCATATAAGAAGACCATGACACTGGCCATGGTCATGTCGCTTCCGCGGGTCGCGTCGTTGCAAACGTCGTCGTTGAGAGCTTGTATCGCCAAGCATCGATGGTGGTGGAACCGCGCTCGGATTTCCATCATGAGGGGGTCGGTCTTCTTTTGCGACAGACGCAGCATGCGGTGCTCAATGGCCATGGACACCAGAGCGTGCCGGGTGGCAGCAGGCATGTAGTGGATGAACCTAACCGGTATGATCCACGGGCTCTTCATCAACTGGGTCGTTTCAAAGGACGGGTAGACCGACTCGTTCCCTGCAGTGTGGA